CCAGCAAAAATGGTTGAGAAGCAGCGCCTAGTGAGGGAAGAGAAAAGCCACTCAGAGCCACGTCACGGAAGACAAGAGGCGACTGTGTCAACAAGGGGCCGAACACTGCTGAAAGGGCAGGAAACTGAAAGGGGACTCCTGAAATTGACAAGATGGAGAGGGAGGTCTTTCAGTGCATGGAGTGATGATGATCTGAGAATCCCTCACGGATGGAGCTGAAAAAGAGACAGGGAGGTGACTTGTGAAGACAGAAGTTACCAAGGGTTAAGACGTCTCCTTGTGATGAGGAGAGGAAAAATGGGCGAGTGCCGGCAGGAGAGCTGTAGACAAAGGAGCATTTTTATAAGATGGGAGGCGCTAGAGAGTATTTTTGAGATAATGGGAACGATCCAGCTGAGAAGGAGAAAATTACGGAGGAGAGAGAAGTGAAATCTTTGAGAGGTAGGAGGGGTGAGATCCAGAGTTAGATTTAGTGGATTTAGCAGGAGGGTGATTTAGCATCATTCCTGTCTGATTACTTCTGTGCGAGAGCTTATCAGCGAGGGTGGTACAGTGGGGAACAGGAAAAGACAACGTAGGAGACTTGAAAAGAAGTGAGAGCTTATTACAGTATCATTGGCTTTAATCAAACATCTTTTGTATTCTCTGTAGCATCCAACACACAGCTAATTAACATAGTGGGTGCTCAAATAGACACTAGTTAGAGACATAATGTTTGCAGTGTGAGTTCCCATATCACCTTTTTTAGTCAAGGTGTTGAGAATGTGTGTCGCCCAGACGTCCAGGCTCCCTTCCATCAGGTGTGATGCCTGCCTGGCTATTTGTTGAAGGTGGGGTCTTAGGTATCTGCAAATAGTTAAGTCAAATAACCATCCCTTCTACTACAAACATCACCTCCCATGGGCACCGGCTGATAAACGCTGACATGAAGATGTCAAGACTACTGCATTAGGCTTTCTTAATCCCACTGGCATCTCAGCCAAGGGCAAACACCCACTGTCTGAATCACGTCGGGCAGCAGTGTGTAACTCAGCCTTCGGTCCAGCCCCTGACACTCTTTTTATTGACATAGTCTGTCCTTTACCAGATCAGATTTCCCTTTCTTTTCCTTGCTCTCCGTTAATTTGAGGTTGGATATCTCTCCTTTTTTTCCCACCTTCTTGCTTTCTCCCTTTCCATTTCTCCTAGCTTAGGCAGAGTTAAATTTCTCATTTTACGTTTCCTCTGTTACTTTGTCTCTTCCATTTATTCTCTCCTCTCTGGTGTGCCCAGCCCCCATTCCATCCTAACTCCATGAGAGGACAGCCCTTCCTCCAAAGTGATCAGGGTACAGATAGACTCAGCAGGTTCACTCTTCAGATCAAACAGCGGCATGCCAAAGATGCAGCCACATTACACAGAAGAAGAGGTCCTGAAGCAAGGCACTGAAGTGGGTGTGATACAGGTGAGAACCGTCTTACTGCTGTCAGTGTTTCAGCTATTAGGCAACACATGGTAAAAGACTCTTTTGCCTCTTCCAAAATGCATCCTTTGAGCAGATACTTTGTGATTGTGTGGCGTATATGAATAACACCAGTCACTCATTTTGCAAATATTTATTGAATCATTTAGTCAGGGAGCCAAGGTCGAGGGGACCCTTTCCCAGATGCTAGACCACTTAATGCATAAAAGAAAAAGAATATGGAGTGGGCGGGGGGGGTGTACAGCTCAGTGGTACTGCACATGCTTAGCATGCATGAGGTCCTGGTTCAATCCCCAGTACCTCCATTAAAAAATTTAGGAGAAATGCAAAGGAACAGAAAAAGAACATGTGGTATCTGCAAAAATCTGTTTTTAAAAAAACCTTCTATTTTAGGCATTATGCTGGCTTGCTTTCTATCTTTCTATTAAAAAGTAAGGCGAAATCTGCCTCCTCAATGTTCTGAGTGAGGTAAGAGTCTGATGGCCCCAGAGAAAGTGTAAACGTCAGAACATGTTCCCAGTTTTAAAAGACAGCCCTCCAGCATGCAGACAGCTTGGCATGGCCACACCATGTACTATCTGCCCCCAAATCACTGGGGAGCCACTCCAGCTTGGGTCCCAAGCTGCCTATACTTTTAGAGACTCACCTTTGGGCACAGGACAGGAAGCAATGTAGGTACCATCTGAATGATGCTCAGAACAGCTTGGCTTTTCTATCTCTTGATGTTCTGAAAGTTTCCTTGAAGCTAATCATGAGACTTTAGAGTCAAACTAACTGGGAATCTGAAGACGGGCTGGGCTGTTGACTGTGTAATCTCAGACAGGTTCCTTGGTCTTGCTGAACCTTGTTTTACCAATCAAAGGAGTGTAAGACCACCTATGCTGTAGGATTACAGTGAGAATTAAAGATAATATAAGCAAAGTGCCTAGGTGGTGCTCAAAATCACAGCTATTATAATTGGCAGAATGCCTACGTTTGATTTCAGGAGCCCAGGGCTAAAGGTAATCTCTTGGACTTAAACGCTGGATGTTTAAAATTCTACCCCTAAAGATTCAAGGTGAAAGGAAGAAAATCTGACATCAAGAGCTGCCACCACACCACACCACACACACAGAGACACACACACACACCCATTCCTAAACCAAAACTAAACCATGGCAACAAAACTAGGAGGTGCTTCTTGTTTGTGTGCCTCCTTGAGAAAAAAAGAGAGAGTGACAGACTCTATTTCTCATCTCTGCTGCTCTGTCCTCAGCACAGCGCCTGGTTCAGCGGCCGAAGCTGAGCCCTCTGCCCTCATCCTGGTTGTGACAGGGGGACAAAGCAGAAGAAGGCAGATGAGCAAGGGGCTGCCTCCTCAGTGCAGGGGGAATGGGAAAGGAGACATGGAGAGTAAAGGGTCAAAGACATATCTCTTCCAGCACCCGGAGCTTTCCCAGGTTCCAGGCACAAAGATGGCTTGTAACAGCCTCAGTCAGGCTCTCGGTTCTGCCAGCAGAAGAGCAACAGTGGCATCTTCAGGGCAGCCAGATGAACTTGGCAGGGGAAGCAGAGAGAGAGGCTAGGGAAGGCACCACCCTCAGAACACGCTCCTCGGTGAAGATGTTAGCTTGACGAGCTTGCCTTTTCTCTACCTAAATGACAGGTATATGCACAAGTGCGTGCCGCCTCCTGCAAGCCTCTTGCAAACCTCGGGGCCCGCACACCCTGACTGACTGTTGACAGTCCTCCCTCTTGTTGTTAGAAAGACACCAGCCAAACTCTCACAGAACTGGAAAACTGGACAGTGCATCAGTTAGGGTCTCGAGCACAAGCAATGGAAACTGTTTCGATTTTAAAAGAAATGAAATTTATCAGTAAGAGACTGGACAGCTCACAGAACATCTGGGAAAGCTGGGGAACCTGACTCAGCGAGCAGACACAAATAAGGGGAAGCTGACGTTCAGAAACCAGTCAACAGATGCCTCAGGGAGATGCTGGTGAGGACACCACTGTGGTCGCCCATGGCTGTCACCAGCACTACCACCAGCACTGGCAGCTGGGCGCTTCAGCTGGAGCCAGTGTCCCTGCTGGGCTTGGAGTGTGGATGTTTGCAGGTGGTACCTCTGCCACCACCAAAATCTCCACTGTCCCTGCTCCTTGACATCACTAGCTCGCCATCTAAAGCCCTAGGTGGTTGTGTCTGGTTGGCCGAGCCCAGCACAGCTGTAAGGGGAACGGATCTTGCCTCAACACAGATGACTTCTCCAAACACAGAAAAGCGATTTCGCAGATGCTGGGAAGCCAAACACCGGCAAGCGTCCCTACAGAACAGGGCGGCAGCGAGAGCAAAGTGCAGATCCCCACCAGGGAGCGCTCTGAGTTTGTGGGAAGTTGTGTGACAAAGCAGAATAGATGGCAAAACGCTGATCTGAAACAAAAACGACAACTCCAAATAATAAACCAACCCACAAAAGAAAACCAGAAGCAAACCAGCGTGCGCACACCCCTTAAGGGGCAGACTAGCCCTGCGCTCCCGCCCGGTCCAGGGCAACTGTGAAGTTACTCTTTCCAATGAACAAAAACGGACTCAAAATTTCTCTTTTCCTAACACTGCACTCGGTTGATGACCATAGAAAGTAACGAACAACAAAGACGCCCGAGAAGGCGGCACGCCAAGAGCCAGCAGGCAGAGCAGGGGAGACAGGTTGCGTTCCAGCTGCGGGTCGGCTCTTCATCCATCCCAGGACACGGGGCCGGCCGAGGGATTCCGAGGGAATGGGGGCCGGCAGAGAGTTTAACTGCATCCTCACAGGGGAAAGACCCCTGTCCTGAGGTCGCGATGGCACTAGTAAGGGACAGGAGCGTCCGAGGAGGTATTACAATCAGACTGCCGGCGCTAGATCGTAATTAACTTCGACGCGGAAAGGCTCCACCCGCGCTGGGAGGGGCTTCAGATCCGTGAGAGGGCGAGCCCGACCTACCTCCAGCCTTAGCGATCTCACCACCAGTCTCCGCTTAAAAAAAACCGCCCAGCGCCGGCCCCGCCCGGAACCAGCACGGCCGCCAGCGGGGCGGAACCGCTTCCGCCCCCAACCAAGATGGCCGCCGGGCGGGATCGCCGGGCGGAAGCGCCCCGGGGAGCCGCTGACGGGTCCATCATGGCGGCCGCGGCCGCCTCCCCCGCGCTGAAGCGGCTGGACCTGCGCGACCCCGCGGCGCTTTTCGAGACACATGGAGCAGAGGAGATTCGCGGGCTGGAGCGCCAGGTTCGGGCCGAGATTGAGCACAAGAAGGAGGAGCTGCGGCAGATGGTGGGCGAGCGGTACCGCGACCTGATCGAGGCGGCCGACACCATCGGCCAGATGCGCCGCTGCGCCGAGGGGCTGGTGGACGCCGTGAGGGCCACCGACCAGTACTGCGCCCGCCTGCGCCAGGCCGGCTCGGCCGCGCCCCAGCCGCCGCGGGACCCGCAGGTGAGCCCCGGACCCCCGCGCCCCGCCCGGCCGCTGCCGCTGCCACCCCCGCGAGTCAGTCCTCGGCCCCGGCGGCTCCTCACCTGCCTGGGGAAGAGCCTGCGGCCGCTCTCTGCGCTCCGCTCCCCGGGGAAGCACGCCCGCAGCCCGGTCCCCGCCGCTGAGCCGGTCCCCAAAGTCACTCGGCCGTTCCTTCAGGAGCCTTCCCCCCGGGCCTTGCTTCCCTCACCTCGCTTCTTGGTTCACTGGGCTTTGCTTGCCAACTTTAGACGGAAACGCCAGGGGTCTCTCGCTAGACAGCTCAACTCGTTCCGTATACTAACATTTTCTCACATTGTTTCTAGAAGAGCTTTCTCCCCCGAGTCGACACCTCCCCCCGCCCCCCGAGTCGTTCCCTCCTCCTCCCGGTCTGCCCCCCGCCCCCACCGCGCTCCCAGGAGTAACTTCCGCAGTCCCGGAGAGCTCTGGCTAGCCTTTGGTGGAGTTGTCGGAGGGCAGAAGCCGACATCCAAAGCTCTCATCTTTTAATAGCAGAACATTTTCATTTTGAGGAGCTAAGGTTATTCTAATCAGGTTATCCTAACTGCCTTTTCTTCCAAACACTAATGATTAGATGTTGAAAGATTCAGCCCTGAACACATCCTAATATTGGAGCAGCGTTTTGTGTCCCTAAAGAACATGGACTTAAGGATGGCAGAGTGAAGGGGCACGGAGGGTGAGAAAGGTAGGCACGGACTTTGTTCTTAAACCTGGGAGAACCACCTTACAGGGTGCGGAAGAAGAAACCGCAGAAGTACAATTTAGCTCCAGTTTGGAACTTCTTAACACAGCCTTTTCAATACGGAAGAATTCAGGTTATTAGGCTGGGCTCACGCAGTAGAACCAGAGAAGATTGAAAATGCTTCATTAATTTTTGAAATGGGAGACTTCATTTCTCCCTAAGCTGTGCATTTAGTACCTGCTCCCCACTGAGGCGGCCGGCCTTTGCTATAATTGAGTCATGCCTCAGAGTTTATTAAAAAAAAAAACTAATTTGTACTATGTTTATCTTTAGAAATGTATTTTTATTGTTGTGTCTGATTTATTCTCAGCCAGACCCACAAAATTTGAGTGCCTTCTGTGTTCAAGGCACAAAGAATCAGAAGTCTCCCAATTCCTGCTCTGAAGGAGTTTACAATCTAGTTGAGGAATTAAATCCATAGAAAGTTGATAAGAAAACCATAAATAGTTTAGAATAGCAGGTAGGGAGGGTACAGCTCAAGTGGTAGAGTGCATGCTTAGCATGCAGGAGGTCCTGGGTTCAATCCCTAGCACCTTCTCTAAAAAGAAATAAACATCATTACCTCCCCCCGATCCTGCCAAAAAAATAATAATAATAATTAAATAATACAATAATAAGTACTTTTAAGAAATAGTCTAGCAGAAGACGACATTTAAGGATAATGGATGATTGATTCCCAGAATAATTGTGTACACTTATTTACCATAAGAATTCTGAAGCAGGTCACTTCACGCTTGAGTCCTTCTCAGTAAGGAGGGTCCTTTAGGACATACGAGATTTGGAATATGGGTCTGGAGTCTGTAAAGACAGTGAAAACCAGGTATCAGTCTGATTAAAATTGTTGGTACTGTTGACATTTGGGGCTGGATCGTTCTTTGTTATAAAGGCTTATCCTGTGCATTGTGGGATGTTTAGAAGCATCCCTGGCTTCTGCCCACTAGATGCCAGTGGCCCTCCTGTTCCTCCACTGTGGCAATCAAAACTGTCTCCAGATACTGCCTCATGTTCCCTAGGGTCACCCTCCCATCCCACACGAGACCCAGGGGATTCAAGGGTCCCTGGAAGAAAGCAGCAGCAGGTGAGGCAACCCTTGACCACCCGGCTAAGATACTAAGCAGCAAGGAACCTTTTAGAACTGCGCAAAGATGGGATCTAACTGGCCTTTGAAGAACGTTAATTTGGCAGCAAAGGAGGATAGATTGGAGGGGATAGAGAATGAACATAGCGCAAGTGAAATGTTTTTGGATGTTTTTGGATTAATCTAAGTGTGAGATGATAATGACCTGCATGAGAATCGTGGAAGTGGTAACAGCAACCTAGGTAGGAGAAGTATCAGCAGAACCATCAGAAGGCCATAAATTTCCTGGGAATTAGGGGCGGAGTGGTGGTACATGCGAAGATATTTAGGGAGATCAGATACTTCGGGAGATCAGGTATTTTGGTAGGGAGATGAATTTAGTTTTAAATATACTGCTTATAGCGCGGCAGTGAAACTTCCCAGAGGAGAAGTCTGGCAGCAACAGAAAAGGCTCAGTAAGGATTCAGGGGAGATTTGAGGACTGAAAATAAAGATGTGGTAGTGCTCTGCCTGGAAGTGATGTTTGCGGAAAGAGAACCATGAAGTAAGAGGACAGACTCAGATGAACAGAAGCAGGAGGACTGAACCAGAAGAAGAGTTGGTGGAAGGCTGATAAAGAGGAGCAGCCAGCCAAGAAGTCCACAGTGCCCTCAGAGAAGCAGCAGAAAACGGAAGGCTGAACATCAGAAGAGGGAAGGAGAAAGCTCACTCGGGGTGATGCATGAGCTCCGGGCTATTGAAATATCACGAGGATCCCCGATAACCAGACTGAGAGATGATCAGAGGAAGTCTGCCCCTCCATGGGACAGAGCAAAGGTGCAACTGGTAGGAAAAGCCGGACTCCAGTACTTATGCTGCACCAACCTTCGATGTCTTGCTGAGTGGCTTAGTGAAAGCTCTGTGCCCCCAAGTACCCCTACATTTCTCCCCTTGCTGGCCCAACACTGACCTTGCTTTTGTTTGCTCTGACTTAGCTCTGTGCCTTTCCTGCAGCCACAGCAGCCGTCCCAGGAGAAGTTCTACAGCATGGCTGCCCAGATCAAGCTACTCTTAGAAATTCCTGAGAAGATCTGGAGCTCGATGGAGGCCTCGCAGTATCTCCACGCCACCCAGCTCTACCTGCTCTGCTGCCACCTGCACCACCTGCTCCAGCTGGATTCTTCTAGTTCCCGATACAGCCCTGTCCTTGCCCGATTCCCTATTCTCATCCGGCAGGTGGCAGCGGCCAGCCACTTCCGGTAAGTGGATCCAGCATAAAGGCCTTCTCTGGTGATGGCCACACCTCACCCCTGCAGTTTTGTGGAATATGCCTTCTTTCCTGACATCCTGGGGTTCTTCTCCCCAGATGTAAAAAGTCCCCTGCTGACCTTTGTCACCATCTCTCTAGGTCCACCATTCTGCATGAGAGCAAGGTGCTGCTCAAATGCCAGGCCATGTCTGACCAAGCTGTGGCTGAGGCCCTGTGCTCTGCGATGCTCCTGGAAGAGAGTTCTCCTCGCCAAGCCCTGACAGACTTCCTGTTGGCCAGAAAGGCAGCTATCCAGAAACTTCTCAACCAGCCGCACCACGGTGGGTGTGGCTTCCCTCCAAGCTTTGTTCCTTAAACAGGGGGATGGAGCCACATGAGCTGAGGGAGACTGAAGCAGCCGGACTGTTCTCTAACTTTACTAAAGGAAATTGTTAAAAGAGGACACTTGCTTCTTGCAGGTGCTGGTGTCAAGGCTCAGATTTGCTCATTAGTGGAGTTGCTGGCCACCACTCTGAACCAGGCTTATGCTCTTTTCTACACTTTACCAGAAGGTCTGCTGCCTGATCCGTCCCTGCCCTGTGGCTTGCTCTTCTCAACTCTGGACTCCATCACAGGCCAGCATCCTACTGGTGAGCTCTTAGCCAACCTCTTTTATTTTCCGGTTCTTTCAGCAGAGATTTACTGGGCCTCTACCATCTGCCAGCTACTGTGCTGGGCTCTGGGGATACAGCAGTGAACTGGACAGATAGGGATCCACCTTCATGGAGGTCAGTCTAATGGTAGAAGCAGATGTTGAACTAACGAATACAAAAATACCTGCTTAATAAGATATTGGTTATTGCCGTAAAGGTAGAGTAATAGTTGACTTGGTGGCATTGAATGGAGGGACCACACCAAGGTCAGAGACTTCCTTGGGGCCATGATACTTAAACTGAAACCTGCAGGTTGAGTAAAAGTTAGCCAGGCAAAGAAGGCAAGCAAGAGTTCCATGCAGAAGGAAGAGGATGTGCAAAGGTCCTGAGGCAAGGAGGATGTTAGTATGTAAGGAACTGAAAGAAAGCAGATGAGGGTAAGGGGTAGTAGGTGAGGGGAGGAATAGCATGAGAAGATATGTGTCCAGTTTGCCATTTGTAACCAGATATTGCAGAGCCACGTGAACATGTTTCCATGCATCCTATACTTTTATTTGGTAGCATTTGTCCCAATTGGAATTAAATGCATTTGACTAGTATGTGGCAGTGGACGCCCATGGGGCTGGAGTGAACACTGAGAGCTCACGTAAGAGGCTGTCACCATGAACCAGGGGACAGACGATGAGGGCAGTAGAGATGGAGCTGATTGGACAACTCCAACATGTATGTAGGAGCTGATTTGGTGAGGGGTTGGCTATGGAGGGTATGGGACGAAGGTGTCCAAGTTTACTAGAAAAGGAATTGGGTTTGTGTTTTTGTTTTTTTATTGAAGTATAATTGATTTACAATGTTATATTAGCTTCTGGTGTACAGCATCGTGATTCAGTTTTATATATATGTATGTATGTATATATTCCTTTTCATATTCTTTTTCATTATAGGTTATTATGAAATACAGAGGATAGTTCTCTGTGCTCTACAGTAGGACCTTGTTTTTGTCTTATTTTATATACAGTAGTTTTTATCTGCTAATCCTGTACTCCCAATTTATCACTCCCTGCCCTAAACCATAAGTTTGTTTTCTATGTCTGTGAGTCTGTTTCCATTTTGTAAATAAGTTCATTTGTGTCATTTTTTTAAGATTCCACATATAGGTGATATATGCCATTTGTCTTTCTCTTTCTGACTTACTTCACTTATATGATAATCTCTTGGTCCACCCATGTTGCTGCAAATGGCATTATTTCCTTCTTTTCTATGGCAGAGTAGTATTCCACTGTATATATATACCACATCTTCTTTATCCAGTCATCTGTAGCTGGACACTTAGGTTGCTTCCATGTCTTGGCTACTGTAAATAGTGCTGCTGTGAACATTGGGGTGCATGTATCTTTTCGAATTAGAGTTTTCTCCAGAAAACTCAGAAAAATCCCAGGAGTGGGATTGCAGAATCTTATGGTAACTCTGTTTTTAGCTTTTTAAGGAGTCTCCATACTGTTCTCCATAGTGGTTGCTCCAATTTACATTCCCACCAACAGTGTAGGTGGGTTTGAAAGGAGTTGGTTTGAAAAGGCTGATGATGAGTTTACTTTTGAAAATGTTGTAT